GGCCGGGCCTGCGGGCGGCCGCCGCGCCACGCACCCATGGACGGCCCGGCCATCATCACCCAGGTGACCAACCCCAAGGAGGACGAGGGCCGGGCTCCGGGCGCGGGCGAGAAAGGTGAGGAGGGGCGCGAGCCCGCCGGACGGGTGCGGGCCGGGGTGGGGGGGTGCGTGCACTCCCGGCGCCGCCGGAGTGCGCTGCCGTGTGCCAGCACGGGCCTGGGGGAGGGGAGCACCCGGCCAGGAGGGTGCGTGGGTGTGGGGTGCGCCTGGAGGAGAGAGAGGCTGCGGGTGTGCGTGTGCCAACGGAGCCAAGCGTGAGTGTGCATGCACTCATGGAGAGGTGAGCGTGTGTGCGCATCCGGTTTGGAGGTTGGGAGTTTGTGCACACACCAGCAGAGAAGTTGTGAGCGTGTGTGCGCGTGCATCTAAGCAGAGAGATTGCGAGAGCACGTTGTGCACTTGACAAGTTGTGAGTATGTGCGTTTACATGTTGTGGGCCGTGCCGGTGCGGAAAGATATAGGGCTCTCTGTGTACCTCTCCGAGGTCGTGGGTGGGTATTCTCCTGACAGGCTGTGAGTTTGTGTATGTACCTTATTTAGAGGTTTGTATGTCCCTGGCTGAGAGGTTGTGCAGTGTGCGTGCACAAGTGTGAGCCTGCAGAGAAATACGTGTGCTCACAGCTGATGGTTGGTGTGCGTGCGATTGCATGCCTGCATCGTCCAGCTGGCAGACTGAACATGTTGTGCCTTTCCATGGAGAGTGTTTGTGTGTGTGTTTGCACAGTGAGCCTGCTTGTGCATCTGTGCACCTGACTACAGCTGTGTGTGTGAACGTGTGTGCCCACTGTGCACCAGACCTGAGGCCACATGCCCAGGTGTGCTTAAGCGGTTGTGCAAACACTTGAGTTGGGCGGGCAGTGCTAAGCCATTTCCACTTTCACCAGCCCATTCGGGGGACCCCTTTCAGGGCGCAGCTCTATCAGGCACTGGAAGAGCCCTCGAGGTGCCAGGAGTGCCCCTTCTCAGAGAGCTAGCCCAGGGCAGTCCTGCCTTCCTGTGCCTGATTCCATTTTGTCACATTTTGGCCCTGTTCCCCCCTTCTGTTTCCTTCTTGCTCTTTTCAGTGTTTCTGTACCTCTCTGTCAGACATGGTGTCCCCTTCTCTTGCATGCCCTGCTTGCTCATGTAAACTTCCCTGTAGTGTCCTGAGGCTTGGACCAGACTTTGTGTTTTGAAGGGCCAAAGAATCTAGCTTGTTTTGTTTTGACGACTAAAGCTTGCCTCACTCTTCATGGCTGGATTGGAGGGGTGCAGCCCACCACGGCGCTCAGCCCCTCTCCAGGCCAGACCTGGCCACAGCAGACACTGGAACAGAGTTAGATTTTCTCCCACATGCTCCCACCCTTGCCGGGCCCGTGGGTAAGGTGTGCCGCCCTCCTGGGAAGCAGGATGACGGGGGCGGGAACACTGCTGTGCCTGTTCCCACACGGGGACCCTGGGCAAGCCTGTCAGGAGAGTGGAAGGAACTTCCAGAGGTACCCTCAGGGTGGGGACTTGCCAACCTATTTGCACTTCGTGAACCATAAACATTATGTGTGTGCACAGACTGCTTTTCTAAAATTCAGACTCTTCCCAGGCATTTTTCTGTGCCTTACAAATGGGCTTAAAAAATTCTGCACGAGGGTGCTCCAGGCGAACCCCCTGCCTCCCTGAGGCGTAAGTGACCAGCGCCTAGGTGGTCTGGCTTTCCCGCTAGAGGCTGTCAGTTCCTAGGCCTCTGGTAGGGTGTGTCCCAATGAGGGAGGGAGCCTGCTAGGAGGCATCAAGAAGGTTCGCCCCCAGTACTCCTTACCTGTGGGTTGAGAGCTTTGTGTGATGCTTTGCCAGGGGAGTGCTCAGTTCTGTTTGGAGAGGTGTGGCACAGAGCAGGGAAGCCAGCACCAAGAGCCTCAGCCCTCCTGCCACCTCCTGCCGCCCCCACCTAGCTTCGCAAGCAGGGACCTTGCCAACTTTTCCTTTTCCTCTCGCTGCAAGGAGTCTATCCAAAATCCTAACCTTGTATACATACTCAAGGATGGTGCTTGTCCTACCCGACTTGTTTACATTGCTTTCCAAGACAACCTTGAATCCTTCATAGCCTATTTTATCTGCCCGCATCAGAGTCACTGTGAACTGAGTCGGGGAATTCCTTACCTGTCGCTATGGGGTGGGGTGACTGGCTAGTTAAGTCCTTTCTGTTGAAGCATTAAAGTCCTACTCATTTTAGTTTTCCACTCTAAAAAAAAAAAAAAGGAAATAATTTTGCTTATAGATCGTGTAGCACTAAATTTGGGAGTCAGATTTTTTCAGCAGTATTTTTGTCTTAAGCATGTACACATAGGCACAATTTATTTCACATCATTTGAATTCGAGGTAAAGACTTACTCATTCTGATGTTAAATATTGAGCCTGGAATGTTTTTGAGTTTTGAGGAGTAAGAAAGAAACTAAGTCTGAAATGTTTGTTTTCATCATTTGTTCTGTAAAATGTGAATAGTAATGATTGCCTCTTGGGTTTTTTGTCTTAAGCATGTACACATAGGCACAATTTATTTCACATCATTTGAATTCGAGGTAAAGACTTACTCATTCTGATGTTAAATATTGAGCCTGGAATGTTTTTGAGTTTTGAGGAGTAAGAAAGAAACTAAGTCTGAAATGTTTGTTTTCATCATTTGTTCTGTAAAATGTGAATAGTAATGATTGCCTCTTGGGTTTGAGAGAAGGTTTAAAGAGTTGATATATGTTAAGGGTTCTGCCTGGTTCACTGATGTGTCACTATTCCATAAATCTTTCTTTAGGGTGTAAATTTACAAAGGCAGTATGAAACACAGGCTGTGGCGTTTTGCATGAGTTGAATTGCTGCTTGACATGTTGCCCCATAGTGGTGCATCATTCGGAGATGACTAGCTGGCAGCCTGACCTGTCACAGTGTTTCATTTCTTACCATGGTAGTTGGTTTGGTTAATAGTGTACAGATACACAAAAGAAATATCCCTGTATTAATTCAACCTACTTTGCTATTTGGAAATTTCCTCTTACAAATCAATAAGAGGAAGTCGATATAGTAGAGAGGAGACAGGAACAAGGAAGTCATCGAAGAGCAGATTCCGACGGCCAATAAATGGAAGAAATGGCATTCAGCTTCATGCGAAACGTTTTCATGAACCAGCTTGGTTAAATATGAAATGATCGCCATTGTGCAAAGTAGATCAAGACCTGGGGAAACAGACACCCTTTATAGACTTCTGTGAAAGAAAAGCGTGGGTAGAGAGTAATGAAATGCCGCCTCAGCTAGGAATGTGTTTGGCTGCAAGTAACAGAAAAGTAGACGGACTGCAGCTTAAATGTATAAGCGTTTATTCTTTTCACCTAATGAGCAATCTGGAGGGAAGATGCTGGTGGCTCTGGTTCAGCCACTCACTGATCTCAGGGCCAACGTAACTGTGATTCTCTTGACTTTCTGTCATGTCGTAACATGGGTGTCACCCCTCCAATCACCACAGCCACCTTCCAGGCAAAGAAGAGACTATGTCCGTCATGCCTACCCTTTGTTTTGTTTTGTTTTGTTTCTGACACAAGCCTCGTGTGCGTGCTGGAGAGAGACAGAGCGAGAGAAAGTGAGATACCCCTCCCTGCCCCGAGTATGGCCACACCACAATCCCTTCTCCACTCCCCTCTCGGGATTTTGAGCACTCATGTACACGTGCCTGGTGTGATTTTCAAGCCGCTGGGTTCAGGGCTTGAACTGCAGTCACTCCTGTGAGAGTGCAGTGCCTTAACCACCACTCCACCTATTGGCCTCTTGCCTATCTCTTACCTGGAAGGCAAAAACATTATGAAGGACCACCTAGCAACCTTTTGCTGATGTTTCATTGGTCAGAATTGGGCCTCATGGCCTCCCCTAGGTGCAAGCGAAGTGAGAAATGTGAGTTTCCAGCCTTGCCAGCCTTTGTTGTGGGAGGCAGGAAGGGAGAAGATTGGAAATGTGTGGGATCAACCCATCAACATGGTGGCCGGCCACATACTTTCCAGGCCCCCGTTTTACTTCTGAGTTTCTGTTCTGGAGCAATAACTTCATTTATGCCCAAAGAAGCATGTAAGGATTCTCAGTGATGTTTGCTGTGTTCCTTGCAGTAGCAAAAGTTAGAACCATCGTATGTATCAACAGCCGAATGGTGAGACTGTGGAATATCAATACTGCAGATTATTGGGAGGCAGTTGCAAAGCATGAGTTAAAGTAGATCTAAACATACTGACATGAACATTTCTAAGACATTCTAAGGGAGGGAAAAGAATTTAAAGAATGGCATAAACAGTGATTCTGTCTTTGTTAAAAACAAAACAAACAAACGCACGCTCACACACACACACACTACATATGTCTAGAAATAGACAAAAAAAATCTGGAAGGAGGTATTTAAGCTGACAAAAATGAGTATCTCTGGGGAGAAGAGTGGAAAGTGAGGGAACTTTGCCTTTTTGTTTAAATGTTAAGGAAAATGTACTCAGTTTTACAGATGAAATTTTTTTTAACTAAAAAAAGAAAATGTCCATTGCGGTTTAGAGGAAACGAAATAATTTGATGGAATAGAGCAATAATAAAACAAAACAAAAGCCAGAAACTGCAGTTAGTGTGCAGTATTAACAAGAATGTGTAGCAATGCTAGCTAGTTAGTTATTTTGTAAGCTAATACACATCCTTGATGAGATTTCCACGGGCAAGTTTGTTTGAGCACATATTTTGGCCCAAGGTCCTGGGAATGTTTCCTCCAAGTGTTCGCAGTGCTTACCCTTAACTCAGAAGCCTTTCACCTTTGGGCTGCAAACAAATGACAGCAAAGGCTCTTAGAAGCCATGGTTATTTCAGATGACAGAACCGATTGGAACTCAGTCTAGTTCGATTAACTTTTTTAAATTAAACTTTTAATGTGGAGATAACTGTGGACTTATATGCAGTTAAGAAATCATGGGACCGGCAGTTAGCGTAATGGCTATGTCGCTGGACTCCCATGTAGCTGACCGCTATTCGGGTCTTGGACCTGGTGGCTTAAACTCACGCCGGGTGCGTGTGCGT